GCTCAGATCCCCCCAATCCAAGCCCCGACCCGTAAAGGATGATTGTTGACGGAATCCAGGAGACCACGATTTCTAGTTTTTCCTACTTAATCATTTTCCTACTTTTTTTGGCTGAATCCTGGAAATTCAATTCCGTCAATTTATGTTATGGGGACGAAGAAATTAAAAGTCGCCTAGAAGCTTTGTCGATGGTGGAGTTGGGTGGCAATTGTGGCGACGATGACCAATTTGGGCAATCGTCTTTGTGGTGGGGACTGGATCGCGTTCTTCCCGGTAGTGGCATCTTGGCGGATGGATTAACGATAAAGCTGGATTGGATTAACGATTCAATTAACGAGGAAGAGATCTATATAGATGAACAATTATCATGGAGGAGGCTAGATTGGTAGTTGGGGCTTCAAAAATAGGAAATTGATGGCTTCTCGGTTGCGGATACATCAGGACATGGAGATGGAGTCTTAATATGGGAAAATGAAGGAGGAGGAAGAGAGTAATCGCTCATATGCTACCGGAGAAAATGGCTAAGTATCAATCGCCAAAATAGGGGATAACAGTAAGGAGTAGGAAAGTGGGGAAGAAAAAAATTGAAAAGGAAATTAAAAATTATAATAGTAAATTTCATTAATAAATGAATTAGTTAGGCATATATGACAGGTGGCGAATTTATATTGGTCAGGAGTACCAAATCAGCTTGCTGAGGTGGTACTCCCGGAGTACCCAATAATTTGTGATTATCCACTCTTTTTCTCATTTAATTGCACAAGATACACACAAATTCTCCTTTCCCTAATTTTTATTACTAATCAACATGCCCTTCCTTCACTTCCCTTCATTATTTGTGGTAAACTAATTTAAGCTAAAACCTCATCCAAACTAAATGTTTTTATTGGCGGGAGCTAGCGTTAGCATCATACTCACAAAAAAGTGTTAGCACACTAGTTCTTACCATTCCACTTATTAAACTGGTATTATAAATCGATTTGATAAACTTATGGCTCGTTTGCTTCATGGATTTGAAAAATAAGGGTTTTGGTTAAAACCTGGGTTTTATAAAACCAAAGATTTATGATGGAAATGATCCATTATGAATTTGGACCAAAACCTTGTTTGCTTGTTGAATTTCATGATGGATTTTGCTGAAATATATTAGTGGGTATGAGATACCATTGACCTTGTTGCCCTTGTTTATAATTATTTGTATATTATTGTTTCCATATAAACAAAGCCATTTAGAGTTTCTTCGTACCTCTCCAAGATTTCAAGAGCTCAAAGCTATCATATATGCAAAAAAAACATGAAATCAATAGAAGACTAGCAATTGGGCCCGGCCCGTTGGCCGGTGGAGTTTCCCCTCAGCATTCTAGCTCACCATTATTTACTTGGTGTAAATTGAGTACTTTAAGCTCATGATGGTGACCCAACTGTAAGTAATCATATTTGTGTGATACAAAAAGTAAATACCTATATAAAAAATACAATGACTAAACGATATATTTCATATATTTAATTATGGCATAAGTCTATATGTGCTTTTTTATTAAAAGGGAATATTATCAGCTACCATGAGTAACGAAATTATCTTTTATTAACAAATAACAATCCTGCATCCAATTGTTGTATTTAAAACAAATCATGATCTATTTATCTTACTAACTCATTATAGTTAATTGGATCCTAGAAAAAATAGGAAATACAAACTCATTATGTTAAAGATTACCTACCGAGCATTACCAAAAAAAGATTACCTACCGAGCTAGTTGACAAAATAAAGCCAATATTCTTCGATTGCCTATACAACCAAATCAAGACCTAAAAACCTTGAAAGCATTCTCATCCACGGTGGAAAAATGAAAGACTAAATACTCCTAGTTCTCATACCCGATTCTCTGAAATCATTCCACTAAATCCAATCAAAGATGATTAGTACCAAAACTGAAATTCAAACTTACATGACTTGTAACAGAATGAGAGCAAACCATTTAAATAAGACCCAAAGAAAATATGGTCATGAAGCCCATTGATCCAGGAAGAAAAAACAGACTGTCACAACTCACATATGCTAGCAAAGTCTTTTAAATCTAGCTTCATATTTGGCTTCATCCCATATAATCTTGAGTTAATCTTGATTGTATTTGGCCTTCCCCCCATCTTGAGGTATTTGGGAAGTGCTCAACCGTGTGATCTTCATTCCAGGACACAACTTGGCAATGTGGAAGCCATCATCGAAAGTTGGTCAGTTAAAGCACAATCATACTTGGATTTCTAAGTTCTTTCTTCACACTTTCTACTGGAGTATGTGCTGGAAAGAAATAACAGAGCATTTCAGAATATTTGCAAACCCAATTTCTCACTTCTTGGAGGATTGGACAAACTGTGATTGATTGGATCTTACCCCCAATAAAAAGTGGACGTCAAGACTTGGCTTTGGCTCATTAACCTGCAAGGCTGCAACACAACATTTTGAGTATGGATTCATTGCTAATTGAAAATCAGCCTGCTGATGTCGCTATCCTGCTTCATGTAATCTTCCTCCTCCTTCTGCTACTGTGTTCTTTGGTTTTCGTTCCCATCTTGATGAAGGTCACTCACCCCGCTTCCCTTTGTAATCTTTTTTGGTCTCGCTCGTACTTGTTCCATCTCATAGTTTTATGTGTATCCCCCTCTGTGTACTTCTTCCCTCAGTGCCCTACACAGCCTATGAATTGCCTGTTGGCCTCTTGCTTCTTGATTGCAGACTTTGTCTCTTATATTGCTTCACTTCCATTGGAAAACAATATTGCAGCTGCAGATTTCTAGCAAACAAATAAATGACTAATAGCAAGAGGAAGATAGATATAGGGGAAACAACGATAGGACAATAACGGAATGAATCAGCTAACTCGTTGAGGCTAACTAATGATTTACGCCAAGGCTAACTGATGCATTATGAAATCATTATTGGACCAAATCCCACATGAAACGAATTGAACAGACATGAATTGGATTGCATGTCCACTGGGAAAGAAAACATAGACGAAATAAAAAACGGGAGGAGAAATCCCATGTCCAGGCTCTGCAAAAGCCCATATCAACATATCGAGGGGAACTTACAGAGACAGGCAGATAGGTCCGATTTCACGGCTGCGGTGAGACGCTGCAGAGGGCGCAGTGAAGGGGTAAAGATGGGATTGGGATTAAATAGGAATAGATTGAAGGTGGAAAGAGTGAGGGGGAGTCGGAGAACTTTTTCACCTAGAAACATCTTTGGAGACGAAACAAAGGGATCGTCTGAATTAGTCGACGGTCGTTGGGCAGTTGCAGAGGCATGGAAGATTGCTTCGATAATGCGGCAATGAGGTTCGGTGGGCAGTCGCACTCGTAACTTGTCGACCCTGCCATGCGAGATAGACGGGCAAGAGCGAGAAAGAGGCGGTGGGAATTCTTCAGAGAGAGAGAGAGAGAGAGGCGACAACAATTGATTCCCAGAGGTTTTGGGAGACAGAAACAGACGGCGAGACAGAGTGAGAGCAGGGTGAGTTCTCCTGGAGCGCTCGGCGAGAAACATCGATGAAGTAGAGAGAGCAAATGGAGATTCCAGAATCCGAATCAATGTCAAACCACGGATGGTTGGAGCTGTAATGGGCAGGGGACAGGGTGAAATTTGAGGGTGGAGTAAAAGAACTGAGGATTGAGGAATTGGCAAGGGTTCGTTTGGGAGATAGCCGCGCTGAGATTTCCGGGAGGAGATGGAAGACAACCCTCGAAGAAGAAAGCGATTTGTGAAGTTACCGGAAAGTCCTTCCGCACTATGCGATTTATTGGGCAGCGGCTGACGTGGCAAATTGCTTTTTTTGACATTGCCTTATAGTAATTTGTAGATTTGAAATATTGAGCATAAACTAATCGTCAGTTTTAAACAAAGTGCTTCAATCATTGTTAGTTTGTTAACCAATACCCACTTACTCCAAATAGGCAAATACAACTTACCACACATCATTAAACTAGTTGATGTACCCTACAATTATAGAATTTTCGTCTTTCTTTTTCTCACAAATTGATGCTTGTTAAGTCCAAGCACATTCCACCATCTTCTTCGTCTTTTTCCTTCACGTTTTTCACTCCTTCTCGGGTCTCTCGTTATCTCTAGTCTAAAGGGTTAGCAAAAATAAAGAGAACAAATTTGTCATTAATAAAATAAGTGGGGATAAAAGAGTAAAGTCTCATCATGGATTTCTCACCCTCACCCAAATCACACCCCTTAGGATGGAATTTGCAAGTCCATGGGGCCTCAGATTTGGGCCATCAAAGTTTGCAGGCCCCACAGATTTATCTCCTCTAAAACCTCGAAGCAAACAATGAATTTGTTCGAAGCAAACAAGGCCTTAGTCTCCCCTAGCCGAGTTTTCATATCTTTTTGTTTGTGAGGAAAAACGGAAGGAATAAAATGATGATGATAAGTTGATAACCGAAGAAGAAAACCGGAGGAAGTGAGAACGAACACGGTGGAACGTTGCCTTTGGATCTGAGATTCGTTCCCAACAATTTTCACCAAGTGGAATTACTACAGCTCGTACAGATCCATCCACAATTCAACTTCTCTTTTACCGCTTCTCTCAACCATCTTTATCTCCACTCCGCCCTTTCTTCTGGAATTCATCCCCTCGGTTTATCCCTGACTTAATCATCTCTCTCCTCCAATAATTTCATTACCCCTCTCTCTCAATCTCTCACTTTTTTTTTTGCGTGATGCTGCTGCTGATATACTATCATCTCCTTTTTTGTTGGAAATATATTAGACTCACATCTCATTCTCTGCGGTTCCATTTTTGGTTTGGGTGGGTGGGTCAGTCTGTTTTTCCCTCTGTTCCTTGTATTTTTTTTTAGAATTGGGTTTGATTTCGGTTGTGACGAGCGATGTACTTGGTGATATTTTTGCTTTGTTTATACGGATTTTGATTCGTTCTGGGTTTTTGAATGACTGTCTCTCGCCTTTTTTATTTGAACAGAATTCGTGGTTATCCTTTCCTCTTTGCTTCTTAATACTTTGTCAGTTTGTCTTCCTCAATCTCTGAATTTCTTCTTTTGAATTGAAGTTCAAGGCCACCTGTGGATGTAAAGCTTTAGTTGCTTGTGTTCAGATGCTCTATCTCTTCATTGATCGAGTTCTGTCAGCTTGTGTGATAACAAACAACCATGTGTCTGGAGTTAGGTTGATTAGCATAATGGTCAACGTTTAGAAAATTATGGGTTTTGTTTCTTGAATTTATTGCTGTTGCCTTTTGTGTTTCTTTACCACCACGGAATTCAACTGTTCTCTCTTCATATGTCATTCGTTGCTCCGGTGGTTTTATGGAATTGTGTTGAATTGCAGTAGATGAAGAATCAGATCGAAGGGAAGAAATATGGCAGCAGCTGAAGCAAGAGCTGCCTGGCAGAGAGCAGCAAATCGTTGTTTTGTTCAGGAGGATGCCAAAAGAGCTCCCAAGTTAGCTTGTTGCCACTCATCATCATCCAAATTAAGTGAAGGAGAGGGACCAACTGGTGCAGCAGAAGCGCCTGATAGTCCTGCTTCCGGCTTCATGCCGTTCAACCGTAATCCTTCTTACTCCAGTCTTCCCCATGATACGAGATGGTGGCTTCAGTTGCAGCCCTGCTATGGTTACCAAAAGGGTTTAACTTTTGACCAGCTGAATGCTTTAGAGGCAGAGGTGGAGAGTTTGAGATCTGGAGTTGGAACCACAACAGACTCCATAATGGCCCAGGAGGTTGTTAGTTCCCTTGATCATAACTCGGATAGTACTTGGATAGATGTCAAAAAGAGTTGCGAGTCTTCGCTTGATGCTGCATATAGCAAGATTTCTGCAGACTGTTTCGTCTATGTTTTCGAAGGTGAAGATCAAGTAAACGGTCTTAATGCTAGTAAAGAGAGAAGTAGTCAATCTGTGGAGGCTGATCCTCTTGTTGCTTTCCATGAGATAGCAAAGAGCAATGTGAATAGCTTTGACCCGGAATCTCCTTGGAGTACTGTTAGTGCAAAGAGTGTGCCATGGTGGCGAACTGCAGATAAAGATAACTTGGCCTCGTTAGTTGCACAGAAGTCATTGGACTATATGGAGAACTGCGATCTCCCTCCTCCTAGAAAGTTTCAGATTGACGGATTCCCTTGTGCTGATCCTAGATCTTCAAATCATGATGGTTCAGCGTCACATTTGTTGGATTGGAGAAAACCTAGCAGATGTGTCTCCGACCCAATTGTTCATATAGCAGGACCTACTGAAATTGCAGTGGGAGGAGGGCAACTGGCTTCGACTGGAGAACATTCACAAAGTGGCTACGACAATACATTCAGGTAACTCTCCTTGATTACATGTAGCAGTATGATCCAACCACTGCAGTCAAAATTCCAACTCAATTCTTAAAAGCTTAAGTTATTAGAGTTCAGTGAACCAATATAGTCTGATTCTATACATGTCATAGAATTTTGTGACCAAATATGCTTCACCTTTTGCTTTGGTGATTGGATATTTCAACCAGGCTTTCCTAATAGATATTGTATATTTATAATGTTCTGATCTTGTTGTTAAAAATGTTATTTTTGAAGGTTTATATGGCATCACTGTTATTCGTTAATTATAACCCTTTTTATGTCAGTCGTAAAACCTTAATTATATAGTTTGACTACCTTGTGTGTGAATTAGTGAGTGCTTACTGTTAACATATTACAAGATGTTGAATGTTTTAAAGATATTAGACTGAGGAATTCTCTTGTTTAGTAGATTAACGTGATGCATCAATCTCAGCAACTTAGAGAAGAGGGATATGGAGAAAATAGTTCAATTGCTGAAGATTATATATTTGTTGCTCTGCGACACATTGATTTTAATCTGTACAAAAATAAACAAGTTGGAAGCTTATCGTGATCCATAAACTCCTACAGACTCAACTGAAACCAGCACTAGTTGTTGGCATGAGTGTTGATGTATTTCTTTAATAGCTGAAGGATGACCATGTGGTTCACATAATCACATTACATATTTATTCCCGTGGGGCGCTTGCTATTTTCACATGCAAGTTCCTATCTGTTATGTGGTCTTATACATCTCTTTCTATGTATGTGAACCTTGTCTACAGTCCTACGACAACACTTAAGGATGTAAGCCAGGATCCCGAGAGCGACCCTTGCAAGGCTTGGCTGCTGGAAGCGCTTCGGCATTCTCAAACACGTGCAAGGGAAGCGGAGAAGGCTGCAAAGCAAGCCTGTGCAGACAAGGAGCATGTCATTATGCTCTTCTTAAAACAAGCGTCCCAACTGTTATCCTACAAACAATGGTTTCAGCTCTTGCAGCTTGAAACTCTTTACCATCAACTGAAGAACAGTGAGGATCCAATGGCCACTCTATTATTCCCTGTAGCCCTTCCATGGATGCCTCCAATGGGTAAAAAACTGGGCAAGAACCGGTCTAAGACCACAAAAGGTAGCTATAAGCGAGGGAAGAGGAACCGGGCAAGGCAGGACATGAAGCGGTATGCAGTCGCATTTGCATTGGGGTTGAGTCTTGTTGGTACAGGGTTGCTCCTTGGTTGGACTGTAGGGTGGATGCTGCCTTTCTAGAAGGAACGAGGTGATGTGATGTATTGTCTAAGTAAATTTCTATTAGTTGGTTGTTTAGATGTTTGATGCAAGCTTAATTTGCAGTGCTGTAGAGAGCAGAGGTCGTAATGTGTAGGGGTTGTGTGGACTGTGGAGGGATGGCGTTATGGAACTATATGTTTCGTTTTCTTGCTGATTGACTGTATATACTCTGTATACAATTTTGATTCTAGGTTCGGTGTGAAGTTAATGGTAAGCTGGTGATAGAAACCAACTGTTTCTATTATAACTAGCTTGTTACCCTGCCCTTTGGGCAGGTAGTTCTATACGTCTTTTATATTTTTTTTCATTTACTTTGTAATTTATAAATTATGGCATACATTTAAATTATTTATTTGTTGTTTAATATACTTTTATTCAAGACAAAGTGAATAAAGTCTAGTTAATTTATTTAGTTGAATATAGAGATGCAAAATATTCAATGTATTCTAATTTATAAGTGATTTCGAAGAGATTTATCATGTTGTTGTTGTCGAAATTGTCACGCATAACTATTTCGATTGCATTGTATCATTTTTTCAAATTCAAAAGTTGTATTAAACAACTCGCCATTAAGAGCCTCATATTATACTATTGAACTTCGTTCATCCATGATTTTAGTAAATTTTGTGTCATAAATTGAAGATCTCCTGTCATTTACTTGATTGAGGGGGGCGGGGGGGAATTAAATTGTGCTTCCCTTCATCTTCGGTAATTAAAAATTCAAATCTATTTACTAAACAAAATCACCATCTTCAATTTCTGCAAGGAAAAGGAAAACAGAATTAGAGAAGTAAGTTTGGACGGAGTTCATGATGCTTTGGGTGATTAATGCATGTGATGTGGGATTTGAAAAGTAATATAACAATGAGGAATTTTACAATGTTATATAGTATTGGTGTTATAGGTTTTTGTCTTTATGGTACAACTTGAAATTGTACATTTAACGTTATGATACAACTTTGGATCATACCTATACTGTTTGTACAAATTCTTTTATGGTACAACTTGAACTTGTACCTTTATGTGATGGTACAACTTCAAGTTGTAAAGTTGTACCATAACATAATGGTACAAATTCTTTTATGGTACAATCTAAACTTATACATTTCATGTTATGGTACAATTTTAAGTTGTACATTAAAGCACCAATACTATATAGCATAGTAAAAATGCTCATAGAACAATATGATGCATGTTGATACGAAAGAAATATCAACCAAATTGCTACTGGAACTGTAAGGAAGCCGCCTATAAATCTCAAATATGCAACCTGCATGGGAACAAAGATGTAACAGAACAAAACAAAAGAGAGAATTAAGTTGGATTTAAAATTATCTTGATTGGTTGAGTCTACATAATGTTGAATATCGTATCATATCCGAGGATTATATGCATAAAAAATCAATAAAAAAGCCTATAAACGACGGCAACTCCCTGCTTTCATAATTCAGATAAGTTGTTCAATGTAGTTCCATCTACAAATGATGATATTTTTTTTGGGAAATACGAATGATGATTCAAAGTGGAGAGATACTTCCTCAAATTACCAACGGAAATCAATTACCCTTCATCTAAGTAATGTGATACAAATGGTTGGTGGATTTTTGGGCTACTCCTTCCCAGTGATTCACTACAAAAGCCAATGCTTACCGTAGAATCTAAATTTGATCAAGAACATGAGGAGAGAGATTGCAACTAACCAAATATCAGAGATGTAGAGATCGAGGGAGGGAAGACGGAGGTGCTGAAGCGTCGGGGCGGTCTCCAGGCGTGATGAAAAACTAATACATTTGGATTTTGGAAAGAATGATATGGCGGAATTATATATAACATAAAGGGTCTAGAACCTGGGAATAAAAAAAAAGGCAGTTGTTGGGGCGGATGAATCATGCAAATTTGAGGGGAAAGATCCAACTGCCGTGATAAAAGAAAGAGGGAGATGGTAGTTAGGGATCGGGAGGTGGGATTCTCAGGACTCAGGATGGCTGATTTTTTCTTTTTTTTTTTTTTGGAGGGAGGATTTTTCCGCCGAACTGAGAGGAAAGAGATTTTTTTTTATGGTTGACGTGGCAGCGTAAATTCTCAGGAGCGCTGATGTGGCAGGGGTCAGAATCTGAAAGTGCTTTAATATATTTTAAGATTACTAGGATTAGTATTATTAGGGTTATGAGTCGTATTAGGTTTATTATTAGGGGTTTTCAGTCTTTCGTTATAAATATGTACTTTGCGTTTTATTTCAGAATTAATTATTTAGAAAAGTATCTCGAACCCTAATATCTCTAATCTCTCTTAAATTCGCCGCCTATCCCTAGGCCGTCGGCCATTCTTCTCCTCAATCTCCTAATTTCCTCTTCTAAATCTCTAATCCCCAATTCTGTTCTTTCCCAATTCTATCTAAATCCCTAAACTTTTATCAATTTTCAATCTCACCAGCCCAATCGATAGAACTCTAGAATTATGTTTCTAACATTTGGTATCAGAGTCCGATTAGCTAACACATCCTCCGTTGCGTTCTCGTCGACTCCAGAACTGCCATCCAAACGAGCATCCTCTCCCGGCGTTGGAGATCTGTCTGGAAAGGCGTCCCCACCCTCAATTCGACTCAAAATCCTTCGACACCCGTTTTATCTCCCATCGATTCATCCCCAAAATCCTCTCCAGCTGTTACGCCGTCGCAATCGAACAAATCATTTTGGAAATCGAGAAGCACCGACGCGCGGAGGAGGGCAAAGCGTGGGGAAGGAGAAGCGTCACCACTGCGGGGTGGTCGGAAGGCAGGCGTTGGAGATGCTCTCCAGCGCCTAGATGTTGCATCGTCGATGGATGAAAGGAAGAAGACAGACTAAGATGTGGATGGGACAGAGGAATTTTTTTTATAACACGAGGAATTTTTTTTGGTCGAAAGGACGTTGGAAATTTGTTTGTGATTTTAATTTTAATTATTATGATTTTTTAAAAAATTTACTCTTATACCCTTATTGTTACGATAACAACAAAATGAATGTTGTTATTGTATCTCGTCCCACGCCTAAACTACTGCGAGTCGGCTAAAAATTTAGGTGGATCAATATGCCTGAGGTATTTTGAATTGATTCGTTTTGAGTCAATTTCAATTACCTGGGGTGGAGGCAGGTAATTCGAATTGACTCGTTTTAATTTCCTCGTTTATAAGACGAGACAATTGATCAAATTGATTCATTTCTACTTTCTAGATTGATTCATCCAAACGACCCCTAGTTGCTATTCTCGCCGTATCTCATCCGAGTCGGATTTTCCCGGCTCATTTGCAGGTTGTCTTGTGACTCTTGTCCCAAAATCTTCACTTCGCAGTTCGCATTCTGCCTTTAGTGCGACCTCCAAAAATTTCGCGCCTCTGAAATTTCTACTTTTCTTCCGCATCCTAGCTCAATTGCTTTCACGATTTCAAGCTCCCTTTCTGTAGCGTTTCTTCCTCGATTTTGCTAGTTCTCTCAGGAGTAAAATTCCTTTCCGACAACGGACGTTTGAATTCATCCATTCTATCACCACCGCTCCTCCCAGCTCGGTTTTCGTTGGCGGATTTCCGCCCCTAGGGTTTGGAACTCGGCTTTGAATTCCCTAGGTTCTCGCGATCATTTTAAGGGTTTCTAAGTTTCCTGGGTTCGGAATTTGCATTGTACGTGATTAAGTGTCGCCATTGTGTCCACGAATCTTGGTGCTCTCATGCGAAATTAGGGATTCGTTTTCCTTGGAATGATAATAAAAAGACGATGAAAGTTGAGGTGCCAAGTCTCAGGCGGTGTAAGTTGGAAGAAGCTTTCAGCGATCATGACGACGGCAACGAAGAAGAGGATGAGTACGCATATTCCTTCATCCCCAAGATGCGGAAGATCGACGGGTACGGTTCCAACGGGAGGATGAGCGTCTACGGCGATGTTGATGACTTCGGCAGTTGTGCTACAGGCTCCGGGTCGCATGTAGCTACTGAAATATTCTCCAATTTGAGGTCATTGAAGAATCAGAAGCTCAAAAGGTCTCGGTCTCCGCCATTCACATCCTCCCGAGGAAGAATCCACACGCTTCCTTCGAGGTTCAATGACTCCGTCGTTGATTTGTTGAAGAATCGGGGCTCTAGATTCAACGACTCTGATTCCAGCTTTGAGAATGATGTTTCCGTTGACGTGGCTACGCATAGCGTTCTTGGGGATAGATGTAGGATGAGATATGTAAAATTTGAGAACGATCATTCTTCCGGATTCACGGAACGGAATAGTGGAATTAGTGCTGTACGGTTTAGCAATCGCAAGTTTTCCAAGTATGAGCGGCAACATTTGAGTTTAAATCGTTCCACGCTGGAGACTGTGGACTCTGATCCGAGTTTGGAACGCAAGGGTTCCCTGGAGTTGACGAAAGGAACATCTAATCTTAGGAAGGACGTTTACAGGCCAGAGGACTTCGCTCTTGGAGATATAGTTTGGGCCAGGTGCGGGAAGAGATACCCTTGGTGGCCAGCTGTGGTAATCGATCCTATATTGCTAGCTCCTAAAGCTGTTCTTAGCTGTTACGTCCCTGGCGCTTTATGTGTTATGTTTTATGGGTACTCCAAAAATGGAACGCAAAGGGTATTTTCCGTTGTCTTTACTCTTTGACCACGTCTCCAGTTACTGGGTTTTCTTGCTTTGTTCTTGAATTTGATTTGTCAATGGTAATGTGCAGGATTATGCATGGCTTAAACAAGGGATGATCTTCCCCTTTGCAGAATTTACCCACAGGTAACTTAAGTTTCAAAACTCGCATTCTGTTCACGGAAGGAGGATGCAATTCCTGATTTCCTGTTTCATCAGATTTCAGGGGCAGACTCAAATGTTCAAGTGCAAGATGAGTGACTTTCAGATGGCATTAGAGGAGGCGATCTTAGCTGAAACTGGTTTCCTGGATGCAGACAGTACATCAAAAGCACCTTTCACAGAAGCTCACCTGATAGAATTCCAGCATGCCAGTACTTTCAGTCGAGATCAATATCGTTCCTACCAGGTGAGTTCCTGGGACCCCATTTCTTTGTCATTTTTCTGAACTATGATTAATCCTTGCATTAAGCATTATGAAATAGTTAGGTTGACCATATCGAATTTTACTAATCACAATGACATTGTAAGTTGATGGTTTTGGTATGGTTCAAAAGCGTCTGTCTATTCTAGATGGATCGACGATGAGAATTAGTACATCCTTACTTTTTGTTATCATCTTAGTTGACAGCTGCTGAATAACAGAGACTCACTCACAATCGTAGGCTAGAAAGTGCTTTTTGGGGATATTAGGTGCTTCTGTGTTGAAGAACCATTCTTGTGGACTTGAAGGTAGATATCGAGCAACTGGAAGCAGATGGGATAAAAACATACTTAATTTACATGGTGGTTATGTAAGATAAGCAATGCCGATAAACACACACATTATCTCAAGTCCGGATAGCTTGAAAACTGATATTTGAATTGGATCACTACTATGAAAACATAGATTAGTTTGTGATTATATAATTGTAGAAAATATTCATTTCCGTACTTGTTGTTCAGCAAGTTCCTTGATCCTGTATCTGTTGGGGAGGTAGGAGTGTAGCGATAACATATTCTCAAGTTTATAATGCTCTTTACTGTTCCAAATTCAGGAAAGTGAATGTGCAAGAACTCATTTCATGGTCTTACCTGTCATAAACTTGTTTGACGTAGGCTGTTTGCCTTATTGATCAGCTTATGTTGATTTATCTTTTTTAAATCCATTTACACCAATAGACACTAGTATTCTGCCTAGTGTCAGATTCCTGGTTTCCTGAAATACTTGTTTGACTCCCCATTTTAATATGTTTATGGTGTTTTTATGGCCAGTACTTATGTATTATTCCCCTTCCAGGGTGCGTGTTACAAGGAGATGAAATGCTGTGGTGGCTGCAGTCTGATGCTGCCCTGCAAAGTTGTGAAGAGCCGGAAGGACTCAGTGTATATGACCGAGCTACTGTGTAAAACATTGTGCCAAGGTTCCTGGTCAAACTTTATGCAGCTAGATTATCAGACATTTTCTGTTCCCGGTGTTCGTTATTATCTTCGGAACTATCTTACTCTCTTGCAGTTAAGGAAGTCCAACCAGTATTGTGGGATATGCAAGAAGATCTGGCACCATTTAGATGGCGGAAACTGGGTGAGGCCTAGTATTGAGCTTGGTTATTTACTTGCTTTATTTCAAAAAGGTAATAGTTGTTCTAATGGATTATTGACTTTTTGAATTAGGTCTGTTGTGATGGCTGTAATGTTTGGATCCATGCCGAGTGCCGATAACATTTCGAAAAGCTTTTCAAGGTTTACCTCGCATAATACAACTTTTTCCTTTTCTCATATTCTCTGATGCATATAATTGGTTTGAACTCACTTGTTATGGTCTGTAGGACCTGGAAACAATCAATATTATTGCCCTGATTGCAAAGTGAAGTTCAAAGTTCCGCCACTGGATTCCAATAGAAGGATGCTTCCTGTCAAGTTTGTTCGCCTTTTTCTTTGTTGTTTGTACATTTCAGTTTGCATATGCTTATAATAGTTGTAGATACTAATGGTTGAGTTTTTTATTTGAATTAGGTCTATTCTAAGCACTGAAGAAGCAATGGCACCTGAGAAAGTGATTGTTGTGTGCAACGGGATGGAGGGTACATATCTCCGGAAACTTCATTCGTAAGGCCTAACCACTTTGCAATCTCTAATAGTCTTCCCTTTTCTTTGTTATGATACTGAAAGCTCGGTTAAGAAACTTACCAGCAAACTTCTCTCTCCTGTTTGCCTTCTGTTTCTCCTTGATCTACGTTCTTTGATTTCTTCTAATTTCTCTCACGTCAATGCCAGCTTGATCGTGGATGATCAATTCTATGTAGTGAATGCAGTTGTTAAAACCACTAAAATTTATCACTCGTATCTCTGGTTTGGTTGTTTTTTTTTTGGCTCTGTACAAATTTGAGAACCTTTTCTTGTCTGTTCCTTTTTCCTAAGTAATACACTTTGTCACCATTATAAGAAAAAGAATGGACGTTTGACATGCCCTATAATTTTGTGCTTTTGTTTCTGTTCAGAATTCTTTGCAGCTGCGGGTCTTGTGGATCTCGGAAGCAAACTCCCAGTGAATGGGAAAAGCACACGGGATGCAGAGCTAAGAAATGGAAGTGTAGTGTCAAAGTGAAGGATACAATGTTGCCACTGGAAAAATGGGTTGGTGCTGCTTGTTTCTCCGAAAGCAAGATTCTTATGTTTTGGCTTGATTAGTGATGCCACTAGCTGATTTTTTCTAGAATGCACAAATTATATTCTAACATAGTGAACTGATTTATTTGCATATTTTATGTAAATCTTTGTCTTGGTTTAGTCCGATGGTTTTCACCTTCTTAGTGGGTGCTGAGAACAGTGGTTATGGATGACAGTTGTTTTAAGTGTAGTTGCATATTCTCCGACAAGTGGTGAAGGGTATGTTGCATCTCATATGTGAAAATTGATTGCATTTGAGGTGGTATAATTACAGCTGTTAAATGAGTCCCCAGTTTAGTTACATATTAAAAAAGTTAGCTTTTCTGATGGGTTTGTGAGCTTTAGATAGCTCATTGTTTTTAACTATTATATATCATCTTGCGAAAGCTTATTGCTATGATCTGTGAGCTAACTTAAAACTAATGCAAGTTCTATAGTGTGATAACTGGCATGAGGTCATTTTGTATTAAGTAAGATTAATATCCGCACCAGTTTTCTGACTCTACTACAATATGGATAAGATTTAGTATGAAGTTATTAATCGCCACAGGTCTTTTCCCTCCTGTTTAATTTACTGCTTGCTAATGAATTTGCTGCAGATTGATGAGTATAGTGCACTTGACTCGGATCCTCTGGAATTAGATAAACAGAAGCTATTAACTCTTTTGCAAGGTACTTCTGTGTTCAGTTTAATGGACTTATTGCATCTGATGCTGTGTGGTCACTTAGCCATGCTGAATTTGTTAATCGAACAGAAAAATACGTGCCTGTTTATGCAAAGTGGACATCAGAAAGATGTGCTGTTTGTAGATGGGTTGAAGATTGGGAAGATAACAAGATAATAATATGCAACAGGTGAGTATGAATTGGTTGGTTCTACTGTAAATTGTCATGGTTCAAAGTTTTGGGATCCGTCTCCAACTAGTTTGGGCCTAAATAATCTTGTTTGTTGCCTGGAAAGTTCTTTTGGGTTGTTTAATCAATACATCCAGTTGATGATGTTTAAGCAGGTCTTAATATTCTTATTGTACACTCGATTTGCTATGATATTTTTGTCCAGATGTCAAATTGCTGTCCACCAAGAGTGCTATGGAGCAAGGAATATTCAGGATTTCACTACTTGGGTGTGTAGAGCATGTGAAACGCCCGATGTGGAAAGGCAATGTTGTCTCTGTCCAGTAAAAGGCAAGTCATTTGTGTTCATTGCACTGTGTCCGTTTTGATTCTTTTTGTCCTTGGACTATTTTTGGCTGTTGAATGTGATAGGTTAAAAAAAAAGCGGAACAAAGAACAACAAAAATGAAAGAGCTTTTCTTGATTAAAAAAAAGTGAAACAAAAGACAGCAAAAATGAAAGAGCTTTTATTTTCTGACCCCTCTTATGTTTTCTAGTTCGCATTGGATCAGAAGTTTTCTTTTAGTTCCCGCATTAAGAAGTTGTTTTATTTCTCTTTTAATGCTACCCATTTCCCCATATGCTATGCTATTGTTCTGATATGCATTAGCTGTTCTTCAGGGGGTGCTTTAAAGCCAACTGATGTTAATAATCTCTGGGTGCATATCACATGTGCTTGGTTTCGACCTCAAGTTGGTTTCTTGAATCACGAGAATATGGAACCGGCCACTGGACTTTTCAAGATCCCTTCAGCTACCTTTCTGAAAGTAAGTCAAATCAATGGCCTAGTCTTCAGTAGAAATCTTTGCCGCCTCGTCTGAGAACTAGAATTGCATTCCCTGTCATTGAGACTGGAGCACTGCTAGCAATGAGTCTTAGGATCTGGTTCTGGAAAAAATAATACGCATCTTAATGGTTGGAAAAGCATTAGTATCTCATCATATGTGGTCTTTAGCTTAATAACACTGAATTGATTTAACCCTTTTGGAGCAGAGCTGTGTTATCTGCAATCAGACTCATGGTTCCTGTACCCAGTGTTGCAAGTGTTCCACCCACTTCCACGCGATGTGTGCGTACAGAGCAGGATATATTATGGAGGCAAGCCTTTTGCTTTTGTTTCTTAACAGTTATTTGATCCTGATTTGTTGTATTGAAAATACTTGATTATGATATACACACTGTTTTCCCTGTATGTTAGATCTGATGATAAGCTTTCATTTGAAATAGTTTTTCTTCATATTTACCGGGTAGATCTGATTAGTCTTCATTTTTTAGACGCTAGGGGAAAAAATTGAACTGAAAATAAAGGCCTATGAGACAACTTTTTGCGCTTTCACTTAGCTAGGATTCACTTGTTGTACATATGAAATATGAGCAGGACCAGATGTTTTATATTATGTACTTCAGGTTCATGTACTTACATTTTCAAATTTTTAGGTGCACTGTCTGGTGAAGAATGGGAAAGAAGAAACCAAGAAGTTAATATACTGTGCTGTTCACAGGTGAACAAACACACTTCTTCCCCTGCAAATTTTTGTATATTTTTTCTTTGTTCCTTCATCAATGGACTTCCGGAAGATGCGTTTTGTTTCTTTGTATTTCCACCAATTTATTTGGATGATTAGTGTTCTCTTTCTGTGTGTTTCTTTTTTCGTCTGCATAGGACCCCAAACCCCGATTCTGTTGTAGCTGTTCGTACTCCTGCAGGGATTTTTGCTGCCAAAAGCTTGCTTCAACAAAATCAGAACGAGTTCTTCCAGGGCTCAAGACTTGTGTCACCTAGGAGAACTGACGTTGCAACCTTCAGGACTGATGAATTTGAGTCTCTTTCCTCTGCGAAATGTCGTGTTTTAAAAAAATCAAATGATAAGGTGTTTTTTCTCTACTCTTTTGTCTCTCGAGTTCCTTTACCCTGCGACTTGGAAAATGGTCATGCAGACCAACCTTTTCAGTTGCTTTCTGCATGAGATTATCAACGTCATTCCTGTAGTCTCATAGTATTTTCAATATGATAGAGGTCTGCAGCAGCGCCAATGTTCCAACGTCCAATGGGGCCACGACATCATTCTTTAGATGCAATAAGCAGCTTCAGGACCCCTATGGTAATAGTCCTTCGGTTACCTTTGGAGATTACCTTTTCATGAAAATTTACCTTTTGACTGAGAGACTGAATTAGACAACAATTTTTTATGTTTGAATTCCTGGTGATCCTGATTCCATGCTGTTGGTTATAAATTATAAGAGATGTCTGCATTGTCTTCTTGCAGGACAAGGATAATTCTAGGATATTTGAGTCATTTAAAGAAAGACTTTGTCATTTACAGGTATTTCCACCTATGATAATATATCATCCATGTCAAAGAATCTTTAATCTGTAAGTTACATGAATTTTTCCTGCAGAAAACTGAAAAGTATCGGATTTGTTTCGGCAAATCTGGCATACATGGCTGGGGCCTCTTTGCTCGGATAAATATTCGTGAGGGTGAAATGGTATACAATTTCAAAGCTTGAATTTTTGGTCTGTCACCATACAATGCGTCTTCATAGCCTTTTTGCTCCATGATATGTGGTTATACTATATCTGAGGAGCTCCGGCTTATGTATATGCTGTGTGCATGAACCGATGAAATTTATTGTTCTATGGTGTTAAAACCTAAAGGGCCCTTTCTTTCTTTCTTTCTTTCTTCAGGTTGTTGAATATCGGGGTGAGCTGGTTAGGCAGATTGTTGCTGACCTCCGAGAGGCTAGGTACCAGTCACAAGGAAAAGATTGCTATGTGAGTTTCGCGGCACTGTTCCGTTTATATGCACTTTCTGCAATGCTTTCGTTGCAGTTAATTCTCCTTGGCTGGTTGGTATAGTTGGAGCTTGTTCATAGACTAATAAGTAATAACTACGCATTTACTGAGCTCAAATTTGTTCCAACTTTTCTTTTTAAATAGAAGAGCATAAGTATCGGCCAACGGTCATTTGGCAAGTAGATCAACGCACTTAAATCAGTTGAACAAACGAGTTTAGGGGCTTCCTGTTGCCCCATTGTCTATGTCCTATCCTTTAAATTTTCTGTTATTTTTTAATATGTTTTGATTGTCTTCCATCTGTTGTGCTTATGAACTTGCAACTATGTTTTGTTTACTGTTTTTGCTTTGCTCTTTATTTCCACAAGTGTCCCGAAACTCTATTTTGGTCGCTGATAGCCGTTGAACTCTAATGCAGCTGTTCAAGATCAGCGAGGACATGGTGATCGATGCCACAAATAAAGGAAACATAGCACGCCTAATCAACCATTCGGTAAGTTTAATTTTTTTTCTTTTTCCCTTAAAGTGAAATATATAGCTACTCTATTCGAGAGAACAGGCAAAATACACTTCTATATCCATAACTTTCACCTTTGTGACAAATATATCCATAACTATCGAAATACATGAAATACCCAGAAAATTGTACTATCGTGTGACAAATCTATCCATTTCCGTTACAAACTCTAACGTCGTTTGTTACGGCGTCAGTAAATAGGACGGAATAGTGAGTAGGACCATAATCTTCTGCCACCTAAGATCCAGGTCAGCAAAGGGAACCACGTGGACGCCATGTCAGCAAATTTCCCCCCTTATACCCTACACCATCGAGAAAAAATTTCCCACCCACCCCCTTTTTCTCAAACTCAAATTAGGGTTCCTACCTTCTTTCTAATCGGCTGCGCTGGAGAAGAGGTTGCTGCCCGCCGCCGCCGATCCAAGGGTTCCCTCCGACAGCAGCCCTCACCGTGCCCCTAGTCGCGTCCGTGGCGGCGCCTCCACCCCCTTTTTCTCAATCGAATTAGGGTTCCTAGAGAAGCATTTTAATCGGCTGCGCTGGAGTAGAGCTTGCTGCCCGCCGCCGATCCAAGGGTTCCCTCTGACAGCAGCCCTCACCGCGGCACTAGTCGCGTCCCTGGCGGCGCCTCCACGCTACATATTTGAATTTTAGCGACAAAGGGTTGGGTGGGTTGGAGATGTCAAAGCGAGTCTCTTCCTCTGCCACAAGCATCAGTGGTGATGGCCTCGTCCGCTGCAAGCACAACATTCCCGCCGTAGTCAAAACATCTGGTACCAATGATAATCCAGGCCGACGATTCTATGGATGTCCATATTGGAAGGTAAGGGTGATTGATCGTAACGATGAATGTTGTTGTTTGTGGGGTTGTTTGTTAATTGGATGGTTGTTATTCGACAGGATGTCAAGAAGAACTGTCGCTTTTTTAGGTGGGCGGAGATGAATGATGATGTTTGCGAGGTCCGAGACACGAATATGGAGAGGTTAATACTGCAGCTGGAAGAGAGTTTGAACATTGCTGAGGTTAAGGCAGAGAGGATGAAGAAGGAGAAGAAGAGGATAGTTGAAGAAGGAAGAAAAGTGAATGAAGATCTCCGTGCAATTCGGTTTATGTTAACCGTTATTGTTGTTTTGAATGCCTTTGTTCTTTTTGTTGTGTGGAGCCATCAAATTGTGATTTAGAAGTAGTAGGGTTTAGATAAGTCGTCATGATGTTTGCTGTAGGTTGAACAATATAACTGTAATGCTATGACTGTTGGAAATGAAGTGGTAGTTGCAATCAGTATTTCCTCAATAACCATTCCTGATTACTACAAAAGCAGTACTGCATATCCATTCACACAAAGTTAACTTACAAAGCTTAACAAAGTGCCCCATTATAGAACATAACCATCATTCGATTCTGGACATGTTTTAACTTACAAATCCTAACAAAGTGCCCCATTAGTTACATGAGTCGATTTCAAAGCTTCCTTTATGGAAGTCATTACATGGGGGCTGACAAAAGTAAATCGACTCAATATAATGAACTTCTAAGGTTGTGTGACAGGTGGTTGACTTCCTTGTACATCCACCACTGTTGGCTGACTTCCACCCACTGGACGACCATTTGCTCCGTTCATCTGGAAGAACAAATATTGAATCAACAACATACACAACAATTTAAAAGCAACAAATGACCAAAAACCACTAGTCTTACCCTAACATATGTATTTCCAGTCGTCTCATTCACATACACACCGATTCCAGCTGTTGCAACTCGCATCTCGCGTGCAACTGTCCTTCGATCATCAACGTTTAACCTCACATGCTACATAAATCAGAAAAATCACAATCACATTCTTCACACTTCCTATAGATCGATTCATACACAATCTTATATACTTGTATTCCACTCCCTTGGTTTATAGGACAAGTTCTTGCATTGTGGGTCGCTGAACCACACTTCGAACAATGACCCTGCCTTGGCCTCTTTCCGGTGTTTTGAGCTGTTGGCTGAGCAGTTGGCCGTGGCATTGGCTGAGTGGTTGAACCGCGAGTTCTCCTCGCTGTATTTGTGTTTCCCTGACCAAAAAGGCAAATGACATTCAGCAATATAATTGAAGTTGTTCACTATAATTCACATGGTGAAGTTGTTCAATATAATTCAGCAATATAATGCAAGGCAAAATTAAATCACATTCACCTGTCTCTCGGGGGCAGCATTTGAAACAGGCGCTTTACAGGTCCGTGCATTATGCCCCTCACCTCCACACTTGCTGCAGTGGATGACAGATCCCCTCCTGGACACTTCTTCACCAATTCCTTGAGCTTGAGGTCGAACCTCAAGCTCGTGAGCAGCTTTCCTCCGGTTCTTTTTTGGCCTTCCAGGCTGTGCCCTTTGCTTGGGAGGGAATACTGGATAACCAGTGGCTTCAGGCCATGCCTGTCTTCCATCCAAGCAAGGGATGCCAACCTTATACCCCTCCCTCACATTATTCACATGATATGCGGGATGGACGTAGTCGTCCACATCCTTCCTCAGGTGTGTGATTGCCGAAACAGCGTGGCAACATGGCAAACCGCTCAGAGACCAATACCCACAAGTACATGTCTTTGTTTGGAGATCAACTATGTACCGTGAATTACCCATCTTAACCTCACACTTCAAATTCAAGGTTTGCTTAGATATGCACAACCTAGCAAGCTCCTTCTCCTTTTCTACCTTCTTTCTAATTCTCGGACACAACAAGTCAGTCGTAGCAGATAACATGTTAAACTTGATCACTACTCGATCCATCATGTAACCCCTAATCCCCTCGAGCATATCTATGATTCTCATTCCCCTATACTTAACAATAGTTCCATTCCAGGTTTCACAGATATTACTCTCCACGGAGTCACATTTAGGTAAATGAGATAAGAAGGATCGGCAGAAGTATCTAGGTTCTTGGTCCATGAAGTATCTATAGCTGGAATGCTGAGAAGTCTCCCTTCTTTCCTCCTGGGCATGAGGAGCTTCAACAGATTCTGCTGCATGCTCAGTTCTGGCAGCGCCTTCACCTTGTAATTCACCATCAATCTGCACTTGAGGAGCAATCTCCTCATCAGTTTCATCCTCGGATTCCTCTTCAAACTCATCCATTTGATCAACCTCTTCCCCGTGACAATCAGCCCTTGCCTTAACTTTCCTTTTCCTCATCTCGCCATAAGCTCGCAGATTAGCCCTTGCCTCATGGTACTCATCGTCCGACGTATCTGCATCATCGGAGTCATACACATGTACCAGGTCACGAGCAACGGAAGCAGCCCCCTCCTCTGCTGCCCAGCTAGCATCCGAGTTTGCTGGTTGGTTTGGATCATGCTCTCCTACCAACTCCTCCCACGAATCAACCATCTGGAGAGAAAGAATACGATTTATGTACGGATAAACGACAAAGCAACTAATTAAGTAATTAACCTAAGCTAAACAATTTTTAATTCACTAACAAACAAATTACACACACAACCATTCACCATTATTCTATGCGAAAAGATTTTAGCTACCAACCAATCAATTACTATTGTACCCAGAATTTGGAAGTGCTGACCTTCAGATTTCAGGGGCAAATCAGCGACACAAGAGAGGGAAGTGGTCCCTGTTCGAATCTTCTCTGTCGCTTTCCAACCTTTAAAGCAAGCTTCGACAATTGAAAGCCACAAGCAAATAAATAAGAACCTTTTCCCCACAATTGAAGCCACAACCCAACTAATTCAAGAGTACCCAGTGCTCACCAGCTTCGACAACCGAAGAGAAAAGGAATCGTCGATTCCTGGTTGCGATTAGGGTTTATGGAAAAAACCCTTCTCGGTGGTCCGCGCCTTCGACGCTGCCTTTGCTTTGAACAGGAAGCTTGGGTTTCGTCGAGAAACGGCCGTCGTCGGTTTATTACGTCGGAAGATGCATGCACGACATCATCTGGCTAAGGCGGCGACGGCGGGGGATGGAACGAGCTTGGGCGGGATAGAAATTTCTGGGTTGTAAGGGCGCCGATCGGAATAGGTGGTGGGATTACTTTAGATAGATCGACAGTTGGTGAGTGAATGATGGGAAAGAGCACCTCGTCGACCGTCGTGGTCGGAGGGAAGAAAGGGAGATGAACGAGCGAGAGGTTGGAGAAGAAAGTGAAAATGGTAGGGTAGAGTGGTTTTCGGTGTTTTATTCTTTTTTTTTTTTTGTCCACGTGGATTAGTGGGAACGCTGACAACGCCAACTCAGCCTTCCCGTCAGTACAGTCACCCATTTACTTAACGCCGTTAAATGGAATATCGAAATTGGGTATTTCATGTATTTCGATAGTTATGGATATATTTGTCACAAAGGTGAAAGTTATGGATATAGAAGTGTATTTTGCCTAATTTTTTTAGTAACTAAACATGACATGATTTAATAATTTCAATGATCAAATGTGGCATTTACCCATTAGATATAGTATATTAAGTTTAAGTGAGATTACATTTAAAAGGTGGGAGTGAAAGGCTTTTCCTTTTCTCTATTTTTTAAACCGACTTGTACTTTTTTTTTAATTTTAACCACAAATTTTACATAGACGAAAAGAGTTTTTTGTGATGTGTATACATTTACGGGGAAAATTGCCCTAAATTATCTACCACTTAATTCGACCAATTCTCGTCCTAAATATCTATAAATACGAATATATGTCACCTTCACCGCTACCGAAACTCCGAATTAGTTATTTTTTACGGTTAGAGCTTTTGTGAAGAAGATCCTTTGCGGTTCCTGCTGTACGTGATTCAAGAGGTCGACCACGTGGAAGTTATGAGTCATTGTTATCATTATTTATGACTAATTATGTTGGTTTGAAACGTAATTTGTACGAGCAAAAGAACCACCCACATCGACATACATAAGCAAAAAGGACGCAGGGCATAGGTTGATTTTCTTGTATTCGGTCGACCTCGTATCGGATTATGTCAACCGCGAAACCAACACTTGATCGTCATTTTACGTCAAATGATGATGAATAAATGTATACAACACTTCTCTTCTATATGGTCGACCTCTTTCTGTAAATGGTCGACCATTTTGTTAATGACCGCCATCAAGTGGTCGACCTATATACCTTTACGGTCGACCATTTTGCTTCTGACGCCAATGAAAAGGGCGACCGATGTTTTATTGTGGTCGACCAACAATGACAACTTAAACTATAAACTGTCGACCACTACATTTTAAAGGTCGATCGTGATAAGTCATCAGGGTGCTCACATTAGTGTATTCGGGAACCTCACAAAACTGAAACGACATATTAGGTCGACCTAATCCTATATGAGGTCGACCTAAAAGTGCAGATTAGGTCGACCTAATACTATATGAGGTCGACCTAAAAGTACAGATTAGGTCGACCTAATACTATATGAGGTCGACCTAAAAGTGAAAGTTACGGTGACACGCATGTCACCATAGACATACCTATAATTTTTTTTTTTACAAAAAAAATTCAGCTTCAACTTAAATATATACATTCTGTTGCATTTAATTGAAAAAAAAAAATTTACATCTCCGCCACAAATATCTTATGGTATCTGCCCCTTCGACCCAAATACCAACCAGTACAATTAATTGGTACTTTGGTAGTCTTTGGTCCAAAGTTGTCAACTCGGTTTTATCTCGTTAGTCTTGTCAAACAAGTGGGTTGAGAGTAATTTTAGCCTTGTTTAATCTAGATATATGCAAAAATTTATTATAGTGTTTATACATTTATAAATTATATATACATTTGACATTGCACCAAAATAACAGTTCATAATTGGATCCAATATATAGTGAAAATTCAAACACACATATATAATATCAATATTCAAGTTAGAATTTCAAATATAGAGTTAGACGTAGAGATGGCAATCCAACCCGAAACCATGGGTATCCTACCGATCGTAACCGGTTAACGTGGGTAATTACTCGCTTTGATGGGTTAAGGATCGGGTACGGGTAATACCCGGTTGTAAAAATGCGGGTAGGGTACGAATATGACAATTGATAATAACCGCCCCGTTATACCCGCCCGCTAACTAAATGGTTGATTTTCCCAAGGCTCTAACCCTAGCAGGTATCAGCTAGCAGGCCAGCACCCATAAGAAAATAGTCTTCTCTCATTTCCCCAACATTTCCTAAAATCTAAATCCCTAATCTCTCTCATATAGCTGCTGCCCGCCAGCCATCCAACGATCATACCACCGCGCCGCCCATAGCCCCACACTCCACCAGCTCTCAACAATCGACATCAAAGTTCCCCAAACTTCACACTCCGACCGCCTCTCCCCTACTTCCCTCTCGTTCGCGCGCCGTTAGCAAGGAGCTCCGCCAGTCACAACGACGCATACCTGCTCTCCCCTCCTTCACTCTCGTTCGCGCGCAACTCGCCAACTTCTACCCTTGATTACTCGAATACCCTTGGTTACCCGGTATGTAGGGTATGGTTATAGCATTTCTATACCAAGCATTGGCGGATCCAGGACATAAGAGAGCACTGAGCCGCATTTGAATAGAATATTAAATATGATAAACAAAAATATATAATAATATAGCTTTCATTACAATGTCAATTGTATAAAAAAGTCTTTTAATTTAGCAAATTCATCAATAATATAATCTCCATCCATACTGATAATATACTCTTTTTCAAAGAAAATAGCTAAGTAATCAACGATAAATTCATCGCTCATTTTGTTGCACAAATCAATGTTCATGTTCCATTGCTGAAAATATTCTCTTCATGGTAGTTGTTGAAATGGATAGGTCAACACTAGACAAATCAACCGACAAATCAATTTGTATTGTGTGTCCATCCTTGTTTCCTCCAACTTCTCTAATAATTTTGCAAGAGAAGAAACTTCATCTTCCTCACATGAGTAGTGCATTCTCCAAACAATGCATCTCATAGCCTTCAAAGTCTCGAGGCTAAACTCTTGAGCAAGTTTGTGAATATTTTCTTCATCAAAACACCAGAAAGAACGGTTAGAATCTAGTGCCCCACTCAATCGAGGCAATCTAAATGATAACTCAACAAGTTTGTAAATATTTTCTTAATCAAAAGAATGGAAAGAAAACGAGCTCGACGAGCTGGCGGAGAAATCCATTTTTGGGTCTGCTCGTCTCTTCGTTCTTGTTTTGTTTTGGGGGGATTGGGAATTTTTTTGAATTTTGCAAGGAAGGGTGTGCTTTAGTTTAGAGTTTTTTTTATATTTTAATGAAACTTTACACTTTTAGGTTTTCATGTCTTTTTTCAAATAAAATCATTGGGGCTATAGAAAATTTAGTATAAATTTAGAGTAATGGTTTGAATATGTTCATCTGAATCATTTTCCTAGTTACACAGAATCCTATTATTAAATAAATCTAGACATGATTTTAAATAGCACTGGGCTAAATACCTAAATCGGAAAATTTTAGGGTTAATACCTTGTTATGGCCTGAACTATGACCATGTAATCAACTTTGGCCAGTGGTTTGAGAAATTAACATCCTGGCCCGATCTATGCAGCATATTGACAAAATTGGCCTGGAGCGTGGTTTGACCGTTTGTTTGGACGGTCAACACCGTTGACCGTTAGTCAACTGTCCAGGTCACTGCCATGTCAACATAAAAAAATGACAATTTCATTTTTCTTTTTATTTCATTTACAAAAATTGAATAATTAAAAAAAAAATCCAAAGCCTAATAAAGAAATCGCAAATTTTATTTTACCTGGCCTTAGTTTTAGCTTTATACTAAAAGAAAACGAAATTAAATGTGCCATTTATCCACCCCACAAACCCAATTATTTGTCGAGGAAAAATCGAAAACCCCCCTCTGTCTTCTAGCTTCTTCTTCCGCTTTCGCTTTGTAAATACCAGAGTTCCAAAGTTGGAGAACTCATGTAAATCTGCCTAAATTCAGTTCAGAGGCCATTTGACAGACCTCGTTCAAACAATCCCTTGTTACTCATCCCAAAGATCGACTTCTCGTATGGATATTCTAGCTGCATGCAGTCACTGGAGATTCAATCGCGGAAAGGGGGGTCGGCGCCGTGACTAGTGAATTCTGGGCAAATCCCCGAATCCAGAAGCTGAGCGGGGAAATTCCCAGCTGGGAGTTTTGCCGACCAGACGAGTGAAGTTCCATTTGCAGCGTATATACCGAAATTGCCACGGGAATCGAGGGAGAGTAAACCGGAAGTGTCGTTGAGAGGAGCGTCTCTGTTCGCGACCCAGATGACGGTTTGCTCCGAAACGTTGTGGTACCATATCCCAAGGTACCGGCGGATTGAGTTCTTGGGGGAGAAGAAGCCGAGGGAGAAGGTTTGGCGGCCGCCGGCCGGAGACCAACACGTCGTCGTCTCGGAGGGGATTGTTGGGCTTGATGGTGTCTGTCTCGATTGAAAACGAAAAACAGGGGAGAAGAAGCAGGGAAAGAAGCTGAAGGAGGAATGATGGGTTGTCGAGGCTGATGTTTACGCCGTCGGGGAAGAAGGAGGAAGAAGATGGAATAGGGTTGGGTTTGATTGAAAAGGAAAGAAGGTGAGGGGATAAGGTGGGGATGGGTGGGCCAAAATTTTTGGATTTTGTTTTTTTTTTAATTATTCAATTTTTGTAAATGAAATAAAAAGAAAAATGGAATTGTAATTTTTTTATGTTGACATGGCAGTGACCTGGACAGTTGACTAACGGTTGATCGTCCAAACAAACGGTCAAACCACGCTCCAGGCCAATTTTGTCAATATGCTGCATAGATCGGGCCAGGATGTTAATTTCTCAAACCACTGGCCAAAGTTGATTACATGGTCATAGTTCAGGCCATAACAAGGTATTAACCCAAAATTTTATAAGCACTAAACTAACTCTGGATCCGGAGGAGGGCTGGGCCGGGGCCTGGGTTGGCCCAGCCCTGGATCCGCCACTGATACCAGGTAGTTATTTGGTTGGGTATTTTAAAAGGCTCTACCCAGCTGGTGAGAAGTTTATATAGGGTGAACATGCACCCGACTCTACTGTCACGACCTTACTCTCGATCGTGCGGCCCTAGCTCTCAAATCCGTTAGAGCGCTAGGCAGCCTTTCTCTCAACTCACTTGCAAGCAAAGAAACAAGAACAAAGACAAAGGATTGGGAGAACTCTCTAGTGTGTATTACTCTAAAAAATGATGGAATGAGTTACAAGTGAGGGAGATGGCTCCTTATATAGGCCTCTCCTCATACAAGGCATCAATGCCCCTCATAATGTCCCTCTACATCAATACACCCCATTAAGTCCCCCCATTATGCACTCTATAAATGTCACCCATTATGTGACTCATAAGTGCACCATTAAGCTCTCATTTAGGTGGAGAATCCTAGGAGCATCTCTATGCTACTAGTCTTCCATACATGCCACATGTGCAGCCGCCATGTTGTCACCTTGTTGGTGTCATGTCATCTGCCACATGTGACATCCTCCCCCACCTATGCTCGCGACGCCCTCGTCGCGTCCTCTTGATGGAATTCCTCGATCAAGTCCTTGTTCTTCCAAAGCGTGAGCTCTTTCTCCCAAGTTGCTTCACTTTCCGGAAGGTTGCGCCACTTGACCAAGTACTCCATAAAGCTTGGATGTACGCCATGACGAGGAATGACACGACGCGCCATGATTTCTTCGACTTCATGGTCGTGTGTCTTGGTGATGAGTGTTGGTGCGCGCTGCGACTCTCTTTGCTGCTCGTCCTCCTTGTCTTCGTGGAAAGGCTTGAGTTGGCTCACATGAAAGACCGGATGTATCTCCAAGTGCATCGGCAACTCTACCTTGTACGCCACCGTGCCAATCCTCTTCACGATGGGGAATGGCCCTTCATAGCGGCGAAGCAGTCCCTTGTGCACGTTCTTGAGATGCTTGAAGCGATGAGGGTAGAGCTTGACCATCACCATGTCTCCCTCTTCAAACTCCAAGTGCCGCCTCTTCTTGTCCGCCCATTTCTTCATCTTCTTACTAGCGCGGGCTAAGTAAGTCTTGGCCATCTCCATCTTCTCATGCCAGCCTTTAGCGAACTTGTAGGCTGCCGGACTGTTGCCTCTATATCCCGTTGCCACCTTCGTAGGTGTCAAAGGTTGCTGCCCCGTCGCCAACTCAAATGGACTCGTGTTGGTCGACTCGGTGCGGTGCAAGTTGTAGGAGAACTGTGCCGTGTCCATCAACTTCACCCAATCTCGTTGGTTTGCACTCACGTAGTGCCGCAAGTACACTTTCAACAAGGCATTCACCCGCTCTGTCTGTCCGTCGCTTTGAGGATGAAACGCCGTCGAGAAGTTCAAGTCTGAGCCCATGACTTGAACAACTCTCGCCAAAATCTGCCCGTAAATCACCCATCTCTGTCGCTCACGATGTTGCTAGGAACGCCCCAATACTTAACCACGTTCTTGAAGAATAGCCGCGCCGCATCCTCTGCCGTCATGTCTTTTGGGCCGGGGATGAACACTCCATACTTCGAGAACCTGTCCACCACAACCATGATGCAACCGCATCCATCGACTTTGGGAAGTCCGATGATGAAGTCCATGCTTACACTCTCCCATGGTCGTTGAGGCGTGGGCAAGGGCTCTAGCAAGCCTGCCGGGCTTCTCTGCTCCATCTTGTCTTGTTGACACACAAGACAAGTCTTCACATACATCTCCACATCGTCTCTCATACGCGGCCAGAAGTATGCTTCTTCGATGAGCGCTTGCGTTCTCTCGATGCTGGGATGGCCCGCCCACTTGGAATCATGGCACTCCTTCATGATCTCCTACCTCAAGTTGGCCCATCTTGGCACGAACACTCGCTCTCCCTTGGTCATGATGAGCCCATCCTTCATCCAAAACCGTCGAGTCTTGCCTTGCTCGATGTACTCCGCTACGGTTTTGGCGAAGGGGTCATGGCCAAGGCCTTCAACGATCCGCTCCTTCAAAGGAAACATGGGCTGGCTGATGCTTGCGGCTGCACTCTTGCGGCTAAGAACATCTGCGACGGAGTTCGCCTTTCCTGGATTTACTCCACGACGAAATCGAACTCGGCCAAAAAGTCTTGCCACCTCGCTTGCTTAGGGGTGAGCTTCTTCTGCGTAAGAAAGTAGCTCGTTGCCACGCTGTCCGTCTTCACTACGAACTTTGACCCCAACAAGTAGTGGCTCCATGTGCGCAAGCAATGCACCACGACCGTCATCTCCTTCTCTTGAACAGTGTATCGCCTCTCCGTCTCGCTGAGCTTTCGACTCTCGAAGGCAATGGGATGCCCATCTTGCATCAACACACCTCCAATCGCGAAGTCGGACGCATCGGTCTGCACTTCGTAGGCCAACGTCGAGTTGGGGAGCACGAGCACGGGCTCCTTCACCACTGCTTGCTTCAAGGCCTCGAATGCTTCTTGGTACCGATCCGACCACTCCCACGCCTTGTTCTTCTTCAAGAGATCCGTCAAGGGTGCTGCAATGTTGGAGTAGTCCTTGATAAACCTCCGATAGTAGTTGGCAAGACTGAGGAATGACCGCAACTCTGGCACCTTCGTTGGCGGCTCCCATTCTTGGATTGCCTGCACCTTCGCTCCATCCATCTTCAACTTGCCTCCACCAATGATGTGCCCCAAGAATGGAACCTCCGTGGCGGCAAACGTGCACTTCTCCCTCTTGACGTACAACTCGTTGTCGCGAAGGACTTGGAAGACTTGGCGTAGATGCTCGGCATGCTCATCGAGTGTTTTGCTATACACGACGATGTCATCCAAGTAGACCACGACAAACCGGTCCAAGAATGGCTCGAACACTTGATTCATCAAAGTGCAAAATGTGGCTGGTGCGTTGGTGAGACCGAAGGGCATCACAAGAAACTGGTAAGAGCCATACCTCGTCACACAAGCCGTCTTTGGCTCATCGCCCTCTGCTATCCGCACTTGATAGTAGCCCGAGCGAAGATCTAGCTTGGTGAACCACATCGCATCTCCAAGCTGGTCGAACAAGTCGGCAATGTCGGGAATCGGCCACTTGTTCTTCACCGTCAACTTGTTGATGGCTCTATAGTCGATGCACATCCGCAATGACCCTTCCTTCTTCTTTTGGAACAGCATCGGTGCTCCAAAAGGTGACTTCTATGGCCGCATGCAGCCTGCGTCCACCAAGTCCTTGAGCTGCCTCCGCAACTCTTCTAGCTCCGGTGGCGACATGCAGTATGGTGCTCGCGAAGGGGGCTTTGCTCCTGGCTCCAACTTGATCTTGTGATCCACCTCTCTTCTTGGTGGCAGCTTCTTGGGCAACTCCGATGGCATCACGTCATCGAACTCTTCGAGGACACCTTCGATGATGGGAGTTGTGATTCCCGTTGAGCCTCCTTCTTCCTCCATTTTCAAGGACACAAGAAATGTTGGTTCATTCTTCTTGAACCCCTTCAATACCTGCATGGCCGATAGAGCACTATGGGGGCCATCTTCTCTCAAGAGATGGACCGCATGGAACTCCCCCTCCTTCTCCAAGCACATCGTGTTGGAGTTGGGCTTCAAGAGCACTCCCTCCTTGTCGAGGAAGTTGATGCCGAGGATGACTGGGTGATCGTCCATGGTGACGACGGAAAAGTCGATGAGGCCTCCCTTGCCCTTTCTCGTAGGCAATACCCAGCCGGTTTGCCTCCTCGATGCGAAGAAAGTTGTCTGTGGCACCGGTATCCACCAAGGCTTTTGATTCGCCTTGCATGAATTGCGCCAGAACATAGCACCTCCCACGCTTGCTCTCCTTGACGTCGGTCTTCACCGCGCCAAGCTTGCGGATTGAGCCAATCTTGGCCTTCGCCGCCTTGGACTCTTCATCCTGAGCTTCCATGGCTGCCAATCTCGCCTTCCTTGGGCAATCCCGCACTCGATGTGGTCCATCGCAAAGGAAGCAAGACATGGGTTTTGGCTCATACTTACTCCCTTTGCTAGAACCACCTTGGTGTTGTTGAGTGCGAGTGCCCTCCTTGAAAGGCTTCTGCTGTTCTCCACCCTTGTTGGGCTTCGAACTCTTCTCTTTGCCGCTGCTCTCTTGCCTTTTGTACTCAACAAAAGACTCCGCCGTGGCCATGGCAGTTGCAAGGTCTTGCACTCCTCGACGTTGCATCTCCATCTTGGCCCATGGCTGCAGCCCATCAAGGAAGCCGTGCATGGCCTCCTTGTCCGTGATGTCCGGGATCTCTAGAAGCAGCTCCGAGAATTCTTTCACATATTCTCGAACTCCACCCATCTGGGTGAGTCTTCTCAACTTCGAACGGGCTTCAAATTCCACGTTCTCCGGGTAGAACTACTTCTTGATTTCTCTCTTGAAATCTTCCCACGTTACCATCACACAAGTACCTATTTCGACGTCTGCTTCACGTCGCCTCCACCACACCATTGCAACATCAACCAAGTATAGTGGAGCGGTACGAAGTTTTACCTCATCCTCTTGGATGCCGGATGCCTTGAAGTATTGCTCAAGACTCCA